TGGGGAATTCTGGGAATTGAAGTCCACACATCTTAAAGTTGGGGAGGTTGAGAAACACTGGTTTAAACAATATTCATGCTTTGAAATGTGATCGTGGGTTTCATCTCTGGGAGGGCCCCCCAGACTTCTTGGCCCACGGGGTGCTTTCCAAAGCGAGCGTCAGTGTGCCCACAGAACTAATTTCTCCATTCTCATGCACGGAACGGAATAAACTGGTTCCCTTGCAAGGCAATGTGCGAATCAATCCTGCTGGCGTCCCAGGCTGCTGTTTCCCCGGGTCAGGATTTCCGTCCGAAGAAATTGCATCTCCCATCGGCCCCCAACAGCGTTGCAATGGGAGTAAATTCCTGGATTTGGGGGGACGGGGTAACCATAGATTGTTTTTTAATGGACAGGGTATAAATGGGTTGGAGGCCGGGGTCTGTCTCTGAACCCACAACGGTCCTTTCAAAACTCCCTGCTTTCCGAAATACTTGCATTCATCTTAGTTTTTAGCTGGCTTGGCATGGGCCAGTGTGTCTCGCTGTATTGCCTACGTCCAGAAAAATGGATGAATTGAGTAACCAGGTTTGGAGTCCCCAGCTAAAACCAGGTTCAGGGTGTTGTCACCAGCGAAAACTTTCATAGAGGATTTGTTTCTTCGACCATCTTGTAATAATAAATCAATAATGACTTATTGTCTGCTTTATTGTATAAAGTGTATGCTTCGTAGCTGTGTTTCTCAACCTTGGCAGCTTGAAGATGGGTGGACTCCAATCCCCAGAATTCCCCAGCCAGCAAGGAATTCTGGGGATTGAAGTCCACCCATCTTCAAGCTTTATATTGTAGGAAGCTAGAGATGGACACATTTTTCTTCCCATTCAGTACACATTCTAGTTTAAGTTGCAATTATTTATCAATCAAATTCATATAATTACTAAATGGTTTAAATTAGAGTATAAGTTATCATTAAAAGATGGGTGGAGAGGAGAAGGGTTCAGACATGGTGAGGGGTCCCCATGTTATTAGTCCTTGTTTTTAATTTCATTATTCCCCTCGCCTCAAGCCAAGTCCAGAGGGCATCGCCCCTTTAAGAAGAGCCCCGCCCCCTCGCTTTCCTCGTCGCGCCGGAGCCAATCAGCTCTTAAGGCACGCCTCCTTCCCCGTGGGGAAGCCAGGACGCCTCTGTGGTTGTTCAACCGCCCTAGCTTCTGTTGCGGTCAGTGAAACGACGGCGGGGTGATCTATTGGTCCGCTCTGGGACGGGCCGCCGCTTCAATTGGCCGGGGCGGCTGGCAATCTTGGGGTCTCGCGACGGCGCTCCGCCCCTAGGCGGGGATCAGTCAAGCTAGTTTGCGAGGCTGGGCTCGAACCGGGAAGGAGACGCTGTCCTTCTGCAGCCATGGCGAGCGGGGGTCATGGTGAGAGCTCCCCCCGATTAGGAGAATGGTATTGGCTACCCGGCTTAGGTCAGGCGCGCGGCGGACTCTTCCATTATGGGTGGGGGGGATAATGATTTACGGTGACCTTTTGGTTTGTTTGCACAGCCGGCTCTCCAGCAGGGCTGGGAGGGCGCGAGTCTCTCGGGCAGGCGCCTTGGGTGATGGCAACTGCTTCGCCTGCAGATTGAGTTGAGCTATTGCCCCACATGCCCAGCGGGTGAGCGGAGAGGCGGGCGGCAGAGGAGCAAAGTGCGGGATGTGCAAAATGCACGCGCGACGCCGCACCAGCGGGTTTCCGCGTGTGCAAGCCCTCTCGCCCCTGTGTCCTCGGAAGTCAAGCCCGGTGCACGCCGTCAGGTTCATCTCCGAGAGAAACGTGCCTTTCCAAGCCGCGGGGGGGGGGATCGGGCGTGGAGCCTCCAGGTTCAGGAGCAGTCTACCTGGGAATGCCAATTTTTCTTTCTTTCTTTTTTTTTAATGGGATTGATGCTCCGAGGCTGGCTTTCCGAAGGGGAGGGTGGTTTGGAGAAATTAACGGAGGGTGGCGTTGGCGGTGCACGGGGAGCCAAAAGCCGAGGGTCTGCGCGTAGGGTTTGCAAAAGGCTACACCTGAGGTGGGGCCTCGGGGGCATCCGGGAGCTGCAATCCTTAATTCCTGCCCTGGGTTTATGGAGTTGGAGGAGAGCTTCCCTGTGCAGAGGCAGTGTATCTGGAATTGCCAGGGGTTAGGGAGCAGCCACTGGGGAGGTCTCTCAAGCTCACCAATTTGCTCGCGGCGTCTGGTTGTGCTAGGAGAAAAGAAAACCCCCGAAGGAAGATGTTCTGGAGGAAGAACCCCAACCAGTTAATAACGTGGATATTTTGGGTGGCAATTTTGCATCGGAAGACTTTGCTCTGCCAGGCGGGACGGCTGCTCCAAGCCCTTGGCCAGCAGGACAACGGTTAGGCTTCCCCAAAATACAGAATAAGAATAATTTTGCCACGGCAGCGCATTAAAACGCCCTTACGTGAATCCTGGCTGGAGCAAAGCCTGCTTCACGTTATATTAAGTCAACCCAATCGAGCCTGTTGTATTTTTGCTTTCCAGAAGGAGTTTAGGCCCGGCTTGTATTAGTTAGGAGCTGTGCAGAGACTTGCTAGACAAGAGACGTTAATCAGGGACTAAACCAGAAACTTCCCCAAAGACCAAGACTGTTGGCGTGCAAAAAGGGTTTCATCTGTGTTGCACGTGGAGCAGCCCCTTCCGAGCAATGGGGAATTGTTGAAACGGGCCACTTCAAACTCAGATTCAGCGGGAATCGAGACATTTTGCACGCTCTTACCTGGGTGTGATTTTGCTGTGAGGTTGAAAAATGGGTTAAGTTTATTTAACATGGTGGTTATTTAACATGGTTTGTTGAATAAGGGCAACGGTTTGGGTGTTGCTCTAAAGCAGTGTGGTTCAAACGTGGTGACTTTAAGATGTGTGGACTTCAGCTCCCATATGCCCCAGCCAGCATGCTGGAGCATTCTGGGATGCTGGTTGGGGCATTCTGGGAGTTGAAGTCCACGCATCTTAAAGTCACCAAATTTGAACAACACCATTCTAAAGCATAAATCATAGTTTTTGAAGCGTAGGGGCTGCATTGATAACCCTAATGGCTTAATGGAATTGAGTTGAGGTCACTTATTCCCATCCCAGCTTAATCAAACTAGTTTAAAGAATCATGGCTTGGTGCAATCAGATCATTCAAATAAAAACAAGTTTGCAAAACTGGAAAAACGGTAAACTGGTTTCCTTCAGTAAAACAGATTGGATGAATGCTTTCTCATTCGGCAGTTTTGGAACCAGGTTTTGTTCTGCATTTTTCTGGTTTATCCTTGGATACAGGAGGAAGGCAGACCAGCATTGTTCCCACCGCAAGATAAGCCCTAAACCAGGTTAGCAAAGCAGTTTCTGTGTTTGTACCGAGATGTGCCACCTGTAATACGCTGAACCGAAACCTTTTAGCTTGGCTCGGTCTGCGGTGCAGACTCCGCGATGGTGGATTGCAAAGAACTTTTGTATTCCCCTGGGCTGCTTGAAATGCTGGCCCCAGAATGCAGATAAATATATAGCTTTTCAGGAACAGAGGAACCTGCTTTCTAGCAAATCAGAGCACGTTGGATTGGTGGCAACTCGCTCGGATCCAATCCATACAACAAAGCAAAGAAGCAAATTCCTTTGCATTGAAAACGAGTGCATCTGAGTCTGAGAGAAGGCTAATCTAGGACCTACCTTGAGAAGCTAGCTTTCTATAGGCAAGGTAATTTTTAAAAAAAAGTTTAGTGGGGGGAAAGCAGTCTTACATGAAGAAATAAATGTACACTGGTGTTCTGTCTGCAGTGAGAAATTAGGGCTGCCCTTGTTTCTCTTTGCATTTGTATCTTTGTATTTGAGTTTTTTTTTTAATATCTGCCTCTACATTTTCTTGAAGGTCGTGCCGAGAAACGGCTGTCACTTCATGTAACAGTCAACATAACAATGCCACCCTCCAGCTCTTGTTCTTTGAATGGTTATTCAAGGTTACTGGTTATGGTTACATTATGCAGGAATGCAGCAATTCAGAATGAGAAAAAAACTTGACATTGAAAGAATTGTTTTAGTTTTTCCTTACCTGCCCTGTCCAAGTGATGCTTCGCAAGCATCCTGTTCTTCAGTCCCCAGAATTCATATCCAACACATCTGGGGAGAACAGTGGGCATGTTTTTGCAATAGTCCAAGCTCATTTGTTCTAGAGGAGGATCAATTATGCAGGCCAGGTGGAGCTTCTGTGTTCAGGGGCAGTCTACCTTAGTGCATTTCCAAGGGGCAAACGATTGGCTCTTGAGGAAAACATGCAGCATCTGGTGGCTCTTTTGACTGATCCAGCATCGTTGTGGCTTTCCTAATTCCTAAGCGTGGATTTCTGTGCTTCCAAAATGGTGCAATTCGCAAGCCGTCATCAGGTTAAGGAACACATGCACATGTTTGAAGCGTGTGCATGCAAGCCTTTGTAGGAAATAAATTATAAAAGCAAAACCCTGAAATCAACACGGCGGGGGTGAATGTTGAAATGCTGGGTGTTTGCAGGGAATGGGAGAAGTGGAAAATCTGTGTGTGCTTGTGTATCGAGAAGAAAGGGACACTGCAACACTTTTCTTTTGCACTTCTCATTTGTCTACATTCTGGAAGGTTTGGCTGGTTTCTAAGCACGCCCTAGTTGAGTTTTGCGATTCACCTTGCCAGAAATTGGTGTAGGCTTCAAACAAGAACGGATTCAAGTTAAATCTCGATTTAACAGACCATTCAGGGAGAGGGCCTGTCCGTAAAATCTGAATGTCCGTTAAACCTGAAATGATGTCATTTGCATCAAATCAGCTCATTTGCATCATCGTGTCCCTGACCTCAGTAGCACTGAATCCTCGTGAACTGTTAAGTGAACCCTGGTTTAATGAGACGGATATATCGTACCACCGTAAGCTGTGCTGGCCGTATTCTGGACTGGCTGCAAAATGTAGGCGAGGCAGCAAAACTTCATCCAACGGGGCCCATCCTGAACTTTAAAAACGGTCCTGGTCAGACGTTGTTCTTCTCCCCGGGTTTAACAATTTCGTTTCTCGTTCTCTTTGAGCTTTCTGCCATTTTTCTCATTTTTCACCCAGGAACCGGATCCGCTTCTGAAGGCCGACGGTAGGTCCCTGCATCACGCTGGACCGCTGGGTGAGCCGTGCCGCCGGGACCTCGGCCGCGACGCCTTCGTGCACAGCCGGGGTGCTTTCCCAACATGGCTTTTCAGAGAACCGAGGGCATGTCCATCATCCAGGCTTTAGCTATGACTGTGGCCGAGATCCCCGTGTTCCTTTACACAACGTTTGGGCAGGTAAAAGAAGAAACCGTTCGTGATGAGCAGTAGATAAATCCATTTTTTCCAGAGGTTCACCCCCAAATTAGGACCAGAATGGATGGCTGTAGGTTGCAAATTGTCTAGACCAGCGTTTCTCCACCTTGGCCACTTTAAGATACGTGGACTTCAACTCCCAGAATTCCCTGGCTCTAAGCTATGTGGACTTCAACTCCCAGAATTCTTTGGCTGGCTGGGGAATGCTGGGAGTTGAAGTCCACACATCTTCAGGTGGCCAAGGTGGAGAAACACTGGCATTGTGTGATGCGTGGCTGTGTTTCTAGTGACCGTTTTCTTTGCAAAGTTGGTGAAGTTGGGCTGTTTTGTTTCCCCCCCTCTTAAAGTCGGCCTTCTCCACGCTGAGGGTCGCTCCGGGCCTTCGGAAGGTGCTGTTTGCCACTGCGCTCGGGACGGTAGCCTTGGCCTTGGCGGCGCACCAGTTAAAGCGTCGACGGCGGCGGAAGAAGCAAATTGCTCCGGAGAAGACCAGCGCGAAGCCCATGGCGGTTCCGGTGCCCATCTTGCCCACCCGGCGGGTCCCGTCAGTGAAAAAAGGTAGTGGCGCAGACCAGAAAAAACAAAGTTTTATTGATCAAAGTTTCTTATGGATTGATAAATGTGGTCCCTTCTCAGCGTCCTGAGAACCACGCAGTGAACAAGGATAAACGTTCATAAAAACCATCCGTTAACACCAATAAATACGACTAATACTGCTATTAATAAAAGTAGCGGCTAGGGTTAAGTAAATCCGGTGGAAATAATAAAAATGAGATCAAGGGGTCTTTTTCTGTCAGACGTAGATGGAGGTGGTTGAGGAACGAACGCAGGTTTTATTGGGGTCTCAACATGCTTTATTGTTTTAAATGGTCTTTTTTTTTCTGTTTGCAGCCCAAAGTTGCTTCTGGTAGATACAAAGCTGTAGCTTTGTTTAATAAATAGTAAATAGATAAGGGGGGCTGAAATGGGTGGGACAGAAAAAATAAAGTGGCCCCATATATGTAAATGATAGATAGATAGATAGATAGATAGATACACACACACACACACACACACACACACACACTATACACAACACACATACACACACACACACACACTATACACAACACACATACACACACACATGCATATATAAATACAAAATATAAATACAAAAAAATAAACTGGCTCCAAGGGAAATGAAGAAGGGCATGTGGTGAAATATTCATCATGATGTCACAATGTGTGATGTCACAATACCTGGCACTGTGACCTCATAATGACTATTTGGGCTCAATTAAGGCATATACAGTATTTCACTGCATTGCGAAATACTCTAAACCGTGTTTCTCACATTTTTTTCGGTCCCTTATCTGTACCGATTTTTTCGCCGGGCCTGTCCCTGCGTGTGTGAGAATGCTTTAAAAAAATATAAAAAATTAAAAATGATTTATTAGGCGTGGATGATTTCTTTGCAAATGATCTGTCAGATAAATTACGTGTAATCTCCAGTCAGTCTCTCTCAGCCCAACCCACCTCACGGGGTAGTTGTTGTGGGGAGAATAGGAGGAGGAAAGAGCATTAGGTGTGTTTGCTACCTTGAGTAATTTATAAAAATAATAAAGGTGGAAATAAATAAATAAATAAATAAAAATTATAATTCTAATCGCTCCTCCTGTCACCTCCCCACTTAATGCCTAACGCCCCTCTAATAATAATTAATTCAATAATAATATAATAATTATTATTATTATATTCTTAATTATAAGAATAATAATAATTCAAACACCCACCGGAGGGTGGTATTGCCCACTTTGAGAAACAGTGCTCTAAATGACGGCTGAGTGTTTCACTACGTTGTGCTAAACAGTGGCTTGCTGAATGGTGGTTTATTGAATCACGCGCCATTTGCTGGGCTCCCCCTTCGCGGCAGGCCGGAAACTGCGCTCTGCCATCTGCGGCGGGTCGGGTTCGGCTGTTCTGCTCTGCCGAAGCCGAGCAAGCTAATTTCTTCCTTGGCGTGATGTGCCCGGTTCCACAAAGCGCAGAACGGGGTGGCGCGTGCACCAGGCCCGTCCTGCTTCCTTCCTCCGACAGGAGGAGTGATCAGAATTATAATTTTTATTTATTTATTTATTTCCACCTTTATTATTTTTATAATATCCCGTGTTTTGCCGAAGCATTATAGAAAAGCGAATTGTTTAATTTCATTTATTCTGTTTAGACGCCTCCCGACTGCAACTGACTTTGGGCGGTGTACAATAAAAACTTGGGGTTTTTTTGGCAAAGCCCTTTTTTTTTCCAGACGCCCACATCGTTTTTCGTTTCAGGTTATTCCGGCCGTCGGATACAGAGCCCTAGCAGTAAAAGCAACGACACCCTCAGTGGGATCTCCTCCATCGAACCCAGCAAACATTCCAGCTCTTCGCACAGTCTGGCATCCGTAAGAGATGTTTTTTTGGGGGGGGCCTTGAGCCCCAAAATGGGGCTTACGGGGGGGGGACTGTGGTGGGAAGCAGCCCCTTGGAAGTTGGAGGTGACATCACCACCCTGTTTCGGAGGGGTCTTGTTTCCAAAAATATGCCCAGGAGCAGAACTTTCCCCAAGCTGGACGTCTACCCACTAAGTGGGCTTCGACTCGGGCATTCCCCAGCTGGTGTGAACCCTGAGAATTCTGGGAGTTGAAGTCCACGTAGCTGGCAATGCCCCCCCTGGAAGGCTGGACCAATGCAGAGCGTTGCATTTTGGACTCAGAAATGAGACACACATCTCGGGCTGTAGGTTGTCGGCAATCCGTTGCATTACATTGGAAGCTCCCGTTGTTATTTATTTATTTTATTGATTTATTTATCACGTTTATGTAGCCGCCCCGCTCACACAAAGTGGCTCTGGGCGGCGCGCAACAATGAAAATGGATAAATACATAAAAGCTATTGCGAATAAAAAAGTATAAAAGCACACAACCAGGAGCGGATGAAATTAATAAGGGAGCCGTCGCAAAATCTCCCCGGTGCCCTGGGCCCAATTTTTTATCTGCAAAAATGCCTGGGTTTCATCTAATTCTTCCTTCTTGTGTGTTTTGATTTTTAAAAAAAATAAATTACCTTGTTTTCTGGCGAACAATCCTTGGAAAGAAGGAGAAGAATTCCTCTAGTTCAGTTTTTTTTTC